TGTTTCTTTGTTTTGTTTAACTTCACTGAAGTGTAAGCAAATCAGCCTATGGCTTCATAATCATGAGACTGTTCCTTAATTCAGCATGCCTTCAAGTGGCATGGACCGCAAGTCTGAGACACTGCATAAAGCCAGGTGGAAGCCTGCCAAGAAGTCAGAGGCCAATTCTCGGGTGAACTATCTGCTCACATAGGTGCAACATGCAAGTTATAGGGCATTTTAGCATAGTTGCATTCTTGTGTCTGAGGAACCTGCTTTTATTTTAAACTACAAAAATACTCACACATCAGTTACTGAAGAAGGAACATTCTCTTCTACCCACTTCAGGTCATCCTCCTGCTACAAGTACAGAAATGAAGTAGAGAACAAAAGTCAGTTTTCCCAAAATGCTATCACAAACACGAGCCTTTTTTCCCCCCTCAGCCTCCTTGAGAAACACACTATAATGCCAGTTCAAATAAACCCTTAAAATGAGATTTCTGAATTACAGAAAACATGTTCCAAGGAAAAGACTACTACAAAGCTGGAATAAGTTATAATCTAACAGCTACTAGGCAAAGCAGGCCCTCAGGACTCCAATTATTTATGCTATTCTGTGGGGCTTAGTCCCCCACAGAAAAACATCATCTTTAGAAGATTTTCTAGATGGAAAATTATTAAATAGCACAAGCCAGATTTTGCCGAGGTAAGTTTCACTGCGTTGTCAGGATTACTCACTAACTGACAAAAACATTCTAATTCACAATCCAAATACACTTGTTTGAGGTTGAAGAACTGACTCTTTCTGTCCCCCTCCAATAGAAAACACAGATTTTTTTCACATTATCATCGAATAAAAAGGATATGGTTGCAATCAACCTTTGAGAAGAGCAATGCTGATGACAAAAAAGTCTCTGCTGTTACCAGGAATTCCTATAGATTCTTTCCTCTTAAATTTATACATGAAATCCATGAAAAGATTCTGAGACAGAATATACATGTATTATGCTTGAGCAGGGGGGATGGACTGGATGATCTCCAGAGGTCCCTTCCAAGCTCAACCATTCCGTGATTCTACCTCCTAACTGAATGTGAATTCATCCCTAGAGAATAAGCCCTCTGCTTATGAGCCACTTGTGAAAAATACACATATATAACATATGTAACACCCAAACTCTTTAAGTAGTTACATAATAATATACACATCACCCCATTTGAGTAATGAATCACTCAATCACAAGGCAATTAATTTAAAATATAGCTCAGCCTCCCTCTCAGCTTGAGAAACTTGAGAAAAGAGTGTATTAGCCATTCTCAGAATAGTGTTATATAGAATAGTTCTTTCTATACTAGATTGCGCAAACATTCCTACAGAACAGACTGAAGTCTTCATTGCATTTATAGGAAGTCAGATGCAAAACCTCTATTTATCTTTTATTGTAAGTACTGTACACATACGACAATTTTACCCACTCCCTTCCACTCTGAAGCAACCCAGGAAACTTGCATATACAGGCTGAACGCTTTGCATATCGGCGAGTTACTCCTGGGAGACTGACAACCAAAAGAGATAAAAGAGATGCATCTAACTCGCTCTAGAAAGGGAGGACATACTCACAACTTTGTTTGCTTTCACATTCCCATTTGGTTCTTGCTTTGTACTTCTCATTTTCATTCCCTCTGAAGACAAAGAAGGAAACAAGATTGGGATAACTGAACTATAATTGTTCGTAGACTGTAAGTGGAAGTGTGTTTATTCAGAATATTTCATCAAATCCAAAGAGATAGAGTGATTAAGAAAAATAAGCTATTCTTTAAAGGGAAACTTTCCTTTTAAAAGGCTTGTAGTATTTTTCCTAACAGGGGAGTGGAGTAGCTATGTTTTAAAAGGGCAAAACTCAAATTTTCCTGAATTTATCTTGCAAAAATATGTATTTAATTTCACCTAGGAAAATCAGTTTCTATTCCTTTTCTCTAAGCCAAGCATACACAGCATGCAGTTCAAGGACATATGCAACTCCCAAAATTTATTTTACCTACTGACTGCTGATGAGTCATTTGACTGGCTTTAAAGCTGAGAGGCAGCATGTCTCCCCCAGCCTGGCAGACAGCCAGATATAGCTGATGGGCCAAATGCAGGTAGGAGATAACACACTCCTCTTCAGCTCTTAAACAACTCAAGGAGTGCTGACATATTCCAGCAAAATTGATTTGGGGACCGTCAGCAGCAGCAGGAACGTGAGTGACCCTACCCTATATAGAACTGTAAACAATATTGCTACGAGGACAACAGATGCAGTAGGGAGATGGGAGGCAGGGGAGAGGGAGCGTTATTACAGTAGGAGGGAGTGAGCAGCAAGAAAGTTGTAACCTGGTCTTATACAGCTGGACTCTTTCATGACCAATCCATATGTTTACATTGAACATACTTGTTCAATGGCCCTTCGGATATGGAAAAAAACAAACACACACACACACAACACTACAGAGTTCAGAGAACTGATAAAACATGAGAACCTTTAAACTGGATTTTAAAAGAACTGTAAACTAATTTGCTGCCTGGCAACAATATCTGAGAGCCTCTTGTCATCATGACTGGATCTAAACCTATGACTCTGTTTATGTAAACAGAGTCTAGTGAACATGGTAGAGCAGCCACACTAGCAGTGTGTCCAGTGTCATCTGAAAAAATCCACATGTAAAGACTGAACCTAACGGTGGTGTTCCTCTACAGCTGCATAAAACAATGGCAAGAGGAAGGCATTTACTCTGCTTTTACATCAGTAATGAATTTTTTTTTTTTTCTTTAAATCAGAAAACAAAAGACTACTCTCTCCGGAGGCCTCCCTTTAACGCTGAAATCAGGAGAGCAGATTAATAATTTTGGTCTTACCAAAGCTTTGGAAGTCTTACCAAAGCTTTCCTTTAACATTGGCTCCTTCTGTTCATCATCATCATCTTCTTCAGACAGCGGTGAGAAAGCAAACCTTTAAGAGGGAAAGAATGAAAGAACCTTCGAAGAACACCTCTTACTATGTAAGAGATATTATCCTGACATTCGTATCATGTGACTATTCTGTGCAGTTCCATTGTTTTTCGGCCAGGTCTATGCTCAACGACCTAATCAAGAGTTCAAGCCATTTCTTTTTAAATAAATTCACCACCAAGAAGAGATTCTATCTACACGGCTCCTTATGCTTTTTGAGATGAAAAGAAACAGACAGCTAATTTTACTTTTCCTCAAGCCCCTACACAAACTGCTTAGTATCCCTATGGATCAGCATACAACAATTGAAATTACCCAGCAGGACTTCTTTGGACAGACAAGCACTCCCCGAAAACAGTATTTTTAGAAAAAGGTAAGAAAAGTTGAACCTTTGGTTGTTGGCAGATGGCCTCCACAGAATCATGATGACAAAAAGGATCATTGAGAACAACAAACGCCAGATGGCATCATCCACCCACAATTCCTGCCAGTCCTGTGAAGGAGAACAGCAGCACAAGTAGAACAAATTGAGGAGAAAAAGGGTGTACATCCTCAGTTCTTTCCCAGGGTAAGATACAGGCATCTAACAAAGAGGCTGGCTTCCCACAACAGCGAGGCAGTTTCATATATGGTGTACAACTCTAGACACAATCCACAGAAAAAGAAATCTGCTCCAGAATCCCCAAACTCACCTCTTGTACTGCCAAATGTAAACTTATCAAGAGGCACCAGTCACAGAAAGCGTTCAAGATACAAACTCACCGACTGACAATCCACTAGCCTGAACTTCATGGTGGTCCAGATGATAAATACAATAGATGCTGCAAGATTAAAAACAAACAAACTGCATATTACCATTAAATGTGCTAGTGTTTTTATAGTACTCATCGGATTTTGTTTGTAAAGCTTTCTCAAAAAGGGTGAAGACCTAAATACTGAAATCCCTGGAATCTGATTTATTAGTTTTAGAAAACAAAACATTCTCATTGCGCTGACCTTATTACAAAAGCTTATGGTCTGTCACTTAGGCTTACAGCGCAGTATATCTTGTTATTACTTCATCAGCGACCCAAGGCATAAAATCAAGTAAAAAAGTATTTAGCCAAACTCCACATGCCTATGTACTATTCTCATATTTATCAAGTCTCCAAACCACGGTTTCTATACAAGTTGACAAATAAAACCTATCTTTAAGTAACTGAAGCATCTGATCTGAATGCCTAAGCATCCAAATCCTGACCCATAAGAGTTCCAATGCTCAAACTAAGCTCTTACCATGATTTTAAAAGATGAGACTTCCCTCCACTAACTAGTTCTACAATTAAGAATCAGGCGCTGCAAGGATTTTAATCAGAACTGTCCATTAAATGAATGGTGTTGTTGTTTTGAAATAAAGAACAGGGTGGTTAGAAGTTTTCTACTCATTGTATCGATAGCATGTCGAGACAGAGGAGAGAAGCTAGGCACCTTGCAGCACTAACATGTTTAAACAGATTTATCCTTTGTGTTCACTTTGTTACCACTGCAAATTGACAGGAAAGTTGAATCTCTTTTCTCCCAGACAGGCATTCTTTTACAGTATAAAGAACATTTGCGCCTCCCCCCCCCACCCCCAAGAGTTGCTCTGGCCTTCAACGGAGGAGGAAGAAACATGTCAATGATGCAGAGCCAGAAGACATATTAAAATCTCATACCACAAGTGCTGTGATTTTGGCAAAAACTATCTCTGCGAAGTTAACACCATAGCATAAAGCTGTCAGGGAGCAAAAGATAATTATTAGGAGGGAAGAAGGTGCTCTGTTAGAGGAATTGCATAGAACTACTGATCTTACTAGCATCAAGACTAATAATCCACTGCCTCTGAAGTAGCAACATAACATTTGTTGTAGACCCACTATTACGAAGGAGTCAAGTGTTAGAAATATCAAGTACTTTGACTGCATTTACAGAAATGCCACAAAGAGACCTGCTGTAGCAATCAAATCAAGCCATAAATCAAAATGGGAAGCGCTCTTATTTGATGAATGTAATTTTCTGCTTACCTGCTACTGCCAAGATGAGCGTGTTGGTGAAGTGCCGATACAAAGAGAGTTTCACAACATTCCTCCGAAGTTTTAGCAGTTTCATTGTTTGAGTCAGGCTGATGAATATGTACAGGAAGTCAAGGAAAGCCTCTGAAGGGACAAGCTGGTTACAGACTTAGGAGGAGATAGATCTCATAAGCAATTACCCTCCCCCCCCATTAACTGTCTACAAGTAGGCCAGACTCACAGTAGAAGAGAAGGTCATCTGATGGCAGCAGCACTAAACAGTACATTGCAACAGTAGAACCCATCCCTTTTATGTCATTTAGTCATCTAAACCTAGAACTATCATCACATCCCAACACTATGCAAGTATCTATTTTGGACTGGGTCCACCCCACGGAAGAGGGTCAGGTATACCTCGGATGAGCATAAAATTAAGTCTGAACTACAAGCAGGTTAAAACCCATTAAACAATATATGTGTGCGTGCGTGTGTCTCTTCACCTTTGTCCTACATTTCTATTTCTATAGTGACTAAGTGTTTAAGAGAGACATCAAGGTAGGAGATAAGGGCTATCATGACTGGGCAGCAAGCTATTCTAAGTAGTGTTTTGTGATCAACTTTTGCTAAAACTACTTCTGTACTGGGGATGTTGAACGTTGCCATATGGTGTTTTGAGTTCAGCATTTGACAGCAGTTCTTAAAGTCACAGTAGATTATGATTGTTTGGATGCAATATGTCAAGACACCAAAAAGTTAACTCTGCCCCATTTTGTCATCCAACTATTTCAAGATGAGTCCAAATTTTGCAGGAGAAAAAAAAAAAAAATCAGCTTTGATGTTGGTAAGAAACTTCTCCCCAGCAACATAAAACGACTCTTCAAAGATCACTGCTGTTGTACTACAATACAGTAGCTACGGTGCTACATTGGAACAAATGTCACACTTCAACAATCAGAGATAGACTGTTTAGTCTGTCTATGTTCAGGAGCTGCTCTAACAGATTATCTATCAGTAATCTAGTTATCCTTGCACTGGCTGTAGCGAAGGCTTACCTGAACACTCAATTACAGAGTTTAGACTAACTTTTCCAGAAGTAGGAAAAAACTCCTTGAAGCTGGTTTGAAAAAGAAATAGCCAAAAAGACTTTCCAAAACAAAACAAAGCTTTTGTTTTTGAAAGAAAACACACCCCACCAAGTAAAATAGTGAAGGATATCCACCAGCACAAGGCAGTGTCTAGGAAAGCCAGGGGAATAAAAGCCAAGGAGGCAAGATCATTCTGGGCCTGGAGACAAAGAGAGAGCCAGTGAGAACAAGCTGAAATGGAAACAAGGTACAGAAGAATCAAGTGAGCAGTGTCAAGCTATTTTATGAGAAAACACAAGTACTTGACCACAATGCTTCTGAGTTTTACTACGGAAGCAGAGGGTTTAAACTAAGTGTTCAGCTGAAGGTACAGAGTGGTTTTAAAAGGTCAAAAGCAGACAATACTGCACTGTCAGTTCCCAGTTCTCCACCAGCAAGGCAAGAAGTAATTTTCCTGAGTAAATTGAAATCCAACACCATCAAAAGGAGCCTCTACTGAGGTGACTGCTGCAATCATGTGCTCTGACCACTTCCGTTACAGAAAACTGGTGATCAGCTTGCTGGAGATGTGGCAGTTAAAGCTTTTACACTACGCATGGAAGAACTGAATACTCCACCAGCAAAGAAGTATTACCACTCAAAGTGGCAAGAATTGCCCTTGTGGTCCATCAAAACCTATCAAAATCCCAAATGACATGCAAATTAGCCCCTAATGACCTCTCACTGCCTTTAAGTACTCTATACGAATAGTTATGTAAATAAGCTTGTCATATTCTGCAGTTTATGAAAGGATATCCACAAAATAATACAGGCATCAATCATGGACAGGGCCAAGTTTGCTATCAGAGCCACAGTGTTATAGAAAAACTGAAAAGGTACCAAATATATGAGACGTTAAATATCTTGTCCCAAGATATCAAACAGAACAAAATCTATACCCTGAGATGTCCCTCTTCTAGAACGAGGCAAGTAGCAGCACCACTCACATGCACTTCCCCAGGTACTGCTTTTAAGGCAGTTTTAACATTTTTTAGACTTGTAGCCAGGTGACCCAAATCGGACATTTTTGCCTGTGACTTGCCCTACACACAGATACACTAAACTGATCTGAAGTATTAGACATGGGGATCTAGGTAGAATATAGGATGTCCGAAACCGGACTAACCTCAAAACTATGAAAATTGTTTCAGAACACACAGAATTATATCCCGATAAATAGAGAAGACATGGAACTTAAATTAGTTGCCCACAACCCACATCCGTGGTCTCAGAGTTCAAGCATTTCATTGTCTCAATTTCCTTCTTTTGGCATAGCCCTGGGATTCTTTATGCGCATATCTAAACAAGGCCAGTAGCATCTGCGGTACAGAAAAATTCAAGATGCGATTACTGACCCCTGTGACTCTAAGAACACCTTCCATGCCAGAAAATAACAGATAAAGGGCTCCAGCCATAACTACTTTGTGAAGAGTAACTCCAAGGCGAGGCCTGTAGGAAAACAGAGAGAAATTTAGATTAAATGTGTTGCGGGGGTCGGGGGGGGGAAAATGAAATCATATCCACCTGAGTCTACGTTAAAGCAAGAGACATGCAAGTAGAAGGTCCTCATGACAAGCCACTTCTAGATCAAGGAAATCATTCTATTATGGTGCTCTAAGCTTACTGTTGGTTTTGTCTTACAGTGCAGTATGGCTAAGGAAGAGATAGAAAACAGGACTGTTCACACGTTAACCTGTTTAGCTTTTCATTATTATTTCAGGAAGTCCCAGCCCATCTCTTCTTTCCCAGTTCCCCCAGCACACCCACACTTGTTGGAAACTTCTGCTCCCCCACAGCACATAGATTTATCACTGAACAGAGCTGAGGACAGACATATGAGCTATCTTTGCAGCAGAAGCCTCCGAAAGCAGATCCCCTATCAACAGAATAGAAACTTGCTGCTAGCAGCAGATCTGCTTTCAGCAATTCATAACTTTCCCATTTCCACAAGCTCTTCCTTGCCTAGAAGTTAGGCATATAAGGCTCTCTCTCAAGTCACGGAGGAAAAAGTTATCTTGACAGCGATTCAGACACCTACCCCACAGTGGCCCAGGGAAGGGGTGGGAAGAAGAGGAATCACCATATGAACACGTGTGTCTGTCTCTATTAGCTAGTGAAGAAGTCAAGATCTTTATAGCACTTAGCTTAAGCACCCACCTTTTAAGTAACAAAGTATACGAAAGAGAATAAGTTATTAAAAGCCAACAACGAAAAGCCTTTTAATGCAATATAACCACGTTCTAAATACGTATTATCAGGGAAGTAACTACTCACTTGACTATCCCATATCCTAGGCTCACTATAATGACCAGAGTTCGAGCCAAGGAACGTTTCACAGCCGAAAGCAGTTCTGCCAGTATCAATGCTCCTTGGACTTACAAGAGGAAAGAAGAGGAAGCTAGGTTAATAAAACATAAGTTACGTCTTTAGTAACTGCTGCAGGTAACAGCAGTATGAGAGTAGAACCGATTATTTTCAGAAAGTAGGCCATTAAAAACTATCAAGTCCAAGATTTTATTTGGACAGAGTCACTTAAGATGGCTTATCAGGCTAAAGAATGAATAGCAAAAATCATCTGCAGCACTGTTGTGTTCAGTAAGGAATGTCAAAGTCTCTTTCCAAGTCTAATACCAATTACCACAAATGAATTCTAAGCTACACTTGGGAAATCCCATTTTAAGCCTTAAGTCAGCACTATAGTGAATACACTCAACAATACATCCATATAGATCTACATCCATAAGACATTACCCTTAGAGTCAGAGAACGTTACATTTTAGCTTTAAGCACTGCGTCGTTTTGTAAAAGAAAAGAAACAAGGCAAAAGTACAGACTGCCAAGAGATCATAAAAAGCATTTAAAGCATTAAAAAAAAAAAATGCAAAAATGCTTGTTTTGAAGCAACCCTCAAGGAATCATATACTTAAAATGCATCTACTGCCCAAATTCATGTCAGCATAAGCCATTATTGCTTTCCCCTCCATCAACGAAACTGCAAGCTGCACTTGCAACGTACCAGATTCCCCTGTGTAGCGGATATTCTGGAACTCTGCATAGAAGACTGCTTTCTCGAGCATCCCCAGGAAGATAACAGCACCAATCCAGAACTGGATCCTCAGGAGATCCCGCCAGTAACAGGCTGACCATGCAAGCCACAGAACCCCGAAGAATACGTACACAATACACATCACCATGAAGAACTGTTACACAAGGAGAAGCAAGAAATAGGACCCTTAACCCCCAAAATCATTTCCTTGTTTCCATTCCATGGATGTAAGACAGCTATATTTTCCTCCTAAGCATACTAGCTTTTGAAGTGTTTGCATACACACGATTAGAAATAAGCATTGCTTCATTTATCTTTTCTGGATTCTATTATAGGACTAATTTCTCACTGCAAATAGAGGCAATTAAAGTAATAACTGAATTTCTGAGCAATTTCACTTTCGAAGAGCGGCCTGCCAATTTTTTCAGAGCAGATTCTTCTAAGGGAAGAAGTAAGTGCTACTAGCTTCCAAAAGCTCAGGAAAGAGTATGGGCACATCAAGTAGCCAGAAACCCTGCCACTTTTCACATATTGTTCTATTGCTAACTTCATCATACATTTACAGTACTCTGCAAACAAACTTAAGTCACCTTTAGATATTATTTCACAGAACAGAGATTAGGAACTGCTGGTTGCAATTGTATTGTTCGAAGAATCTGGTAACTTCTCTCAAGATAATTTTCAGTAAAGCTGGTGTTTGACCAAATTTTAGGTCTGCCAAAAATCTGGATTGAAGAAACAACCTAGAAATTCATTTGAATATTAATATTTTGTGATTTTGTTTCAGTCCAGCATGGCTTGCTTCGGAAGAACTTTCAGATGTACGTCCCTCCTCTACTGAGCAATAAGCTTGTCTGTTACACAGTGCTGAGGTTTCTAAATCATAGTGGCATGCCCTAGCAGGTCGAATTTTAAAAAGGGCATTGAGACTGAGAAAGAAAAGGAATTAAAAGTAGAGAGGGAGACACCGAATGAATAGCAAGTTGTTCTTAGCCAAAGTATAGGACAGTAACAATCAAGCAGCCCCTTCTTGTAGAGGGTAGGGTTTTTTTAAACCAGTTACTGAAGCTTGCTGCATGATCCTCAGACTTCCACAAACCGGAACACCTTATGAGGACAGTATACTGATCCTTACAGATCTTCATCTCCGAGCGATCCATGCAGTTTAACTGTTAAGACATGCCAGTTTCTGTTGAGATGTTCCATTACAGAAGCATGTAGACAGAAACCTTTTTGGGGGCCTGTCACATTTGGATATTCTCACTTAGTGAACTGAGCGTCAGTATTGCTGCTGGAGGCTTTTTACTACTGTAGGAAGTAAAACATAACGTTTCAGAAATGCTGTCATCCCTCCTACTAGTTACAGGCCACTCTTGCCACCCCAGCTAGAGTCTGTCTATGCTGTATTACTACTTAAGTTCATTTATTTTCTTAGCCTCCTAGATAGAGGCAACTAACAGAGTCAGCAAACCGTCTGAAAAAGAGATGATCTCTTTGTAGTTCAGTTATGCTTTTTGCATCAGACAATACTGAAGACCACCTTACGCAGTGTAAGACAGCTGGTAGAGGGAAGAGGATGAGGCTATAAAAGGACAAAGAAAGCAATGACAAATGAAAGGGTAACCGTAAACAAACGCTTAGAATAGCAAATTTCCTGAGACATGAGCTAAAGAGAAAAACAGTGTCAGTAAAGCTGCTCAATTTAGAGCTAATGACACTGATAACTTTTGGCGTTACAAGTAGACAGGCATTGAGTTAAGCCATGGAGAGGAGGAGAGTGTTACTGGCCCACGTGAACACCTGAAGCGTACGTCCGTTTTCGTTATTTTGTATTTAAAATGAAAAAATTATATTAAATTTTTTCTTCTGAACCACCAGCTCTGTTTTTCCTACTGTATTCCAGGAAGCTATTTAATAGAGACTCACATCAGCTCACAACTTTATAGGTCAAAGAAAAGCAGTTTTACTTACAATCATCAGAGGATAGTCTGCAAGTGAGAGATACTCATATGGCCCCTTCAGTTCTATTGTCACTGTCAAAAGACAATCCAATAAGCAATCTGATTACAAACCAAAAACAGCAAGTCAGGACAAAGTACCTATCTGATTTCTACTCAAGGCTGAAGAGATTCCAAATGTTCGCATAGATTAAGCTTTTAAATCTAATTTGTATTTTTATCAAAGAAAAAGTTAACACAACACATTCAACTAAAATCGCGTAATTAAAAATTACATGCTCCATTACAAAGCAGCTCATGTAGTACTCAAAGTGAAGTAATTTGTGCTGTAGATTCATATATAACAGGGAAGGTGGAAACCACACTTAATTCAAGGTTTTTTTAATGGGAATTTTCAGATTTCTCAAAAATTTGGATAGGTTATTAATGCAGTTAGGCATATTATAATATAACTTCAAGGTGACAATCTTGATCTTTCAGTTTTCCACATGATTTGAGCTTATTAATATAAGTGACTGCACTGATCTGGACATTCTTAAAACACAACATGAAACCTCCAAACTGAACTCCTTCAGGTTCTTCTTTATGTCCATCATAAAACTGACAAATTGACAGACATGGGATCTTCAAGACACTTAATTTTGTACAGTAAGAGCAGCTGTAACAGGGAATATTTACATCTATATGAAGCAAAAGGTGGTGTCTTATGAAAACAGGCCATTCGGTATACATTAAAAAGTATCTTTGAACAGTCACTCAGGCTGCTATAAATCAAAGAGTGCAGTATCTATTTTTAGCTTACTGTATAAATATCTATCTTACTTGTAAAGAGCTTCTCTTTGAGATTAGAGGAAGGTGTTGTTTTCTCCATTCTTTTAACTTTAGTAGTAGAGTCTTTCGCAGCTGAAACTCCAATTTGCACAATAAATATATATGGCCCATCTCGCCAAGTTTTAATAACAGCATTCATTGCCTGAAAATAAAATGCCTTCATGTAGGTAGCACATAGTCCAAAAAACAAGAAAAAGCAGCTTCTCCTGATACGGATAATGTCTTCCACCTAACAGTAAAGTTAATCTCTAAAAGTTGTTAACGAAAATCTGATACGTAAATTTTAAATCCACTTATTAGACATAATACTTAAAAAGTTGGCCTGATATTTGCTTACATTTGAATCCAGAAGAATCCTCAAAGACTTGTGAGGTGATCAGGGCTTATTTACAAATTTAATACTGGGTTATTGCAAGAGTTATTTAGTAAAGGTACTCCAAAGGCTACAAAGAATTCAGCAAAGTGTCCTACTTGTTATTCTCACTCTAGGAACATTAGGATGCTTACAAAGATACTTCCTGAAAGCAAATGGTTGGTAGCAGTACAACCACATGTAACTCCTTAGCTGAAGGCTGAATTGTATAGTGCAAGACAGAAGAGGTCTGAGGAGTAGTAAAAATTTCCATATCAGTCGTTTCCTGTGGAAACCTACTTCTCGCTCCGCAACATCTCTCACATCTGTAAGACTCAAACTCTGCCACTAAATGAGCAACAGAGGAAGTCTGTCCAGATTAAATATTTGCACCTTAAAACAAATAAGATTCTGAGTACCAGTAAACAAAGCTGTGAATCCCACAACTTAAGAAGTTCCAGCTATCTCAGAAATTGCAATAATTTATGAAGAGTTAAGGGTTAAAACAGGACTAGCTACTCACAGGCCACTCATGACCACTGTAGAATTAGTGCAGGACTTTTTATACTAGCCTCTCCAAGAGAGGTTAATTATTAAGAGCACACATTTCTATCGAGAATTATCTTGACCACAAGATCTAAAGACAACAGAATCTTATACATCAGAAATAAGCTTATGTTCAAATTGGCTGAAGTTAAAACGTTTAGTTAAAAAAAAAATTCTACTTAAAAGAAGATGGAGACAGTTTTATACACTAGTTTACTTTTAAAATAGCTCCATCTTTTGCTGCATTAATTCCTTATTTCACAATTGCACATGCAACTATTCACTTTCAACTTTAAAGTAACCGGCCCTATTGGTACCCAAGAAGTTAAATACATTTGCTTTGCGGGCAACCAAGACGTTCAAGTTTAAGTTACTTTGACAATTGTTCCTGATTAAGGCTTGAACATAATACCTAGTAAAATTACTAACAGACTTGAAAATTAAGTATAATCATTCAACTTGTTAGCTACAGGGTTTCAAAAGATTGATTAGATAAAGATGAAACCAAATGTAATCTCTGAACATCAATGACAACTGATAATGGATCATTATCAATTATTATTTTATCATAAAGCTGGCAGAGATAGTTTGTATACAATACCTTTTTTAAAAAGGTTATTTTAAAGTTTTAGTTTGTAGCATCAGTTTGAATGGTATGAATTCTATAATTCACACGAAGGAAGCTGTACAAATATTGTTACTCTGTTTTCCACACACAACTACTTAGTTTGACGCTAAAACAACCAAAGATCTCAAAAAATTACAGGCAAAACTGCACAACCCCTGTGAATACTAGAAGCAATTTGTTTCAGCAAGAAATATAAATATAGAAGAACTGTTGGATTCCAAGTCACTCTTAAATTCAATATACATACTGTTTTATCTGCCACCATCGTGTGATTTACTCCACTCTCCTTCTTATCTTTTAAGCCCTAAAAAAAACCCCCAGAAAATAAATAAATCAACATGCCAAAAGCGTCTCTTCCACTCTTATTCTCACTCATTAGAGGGGAAAAAAAATTATCACCTCTTGTTTCTCAGGTGAGAGAGGTTCTGGATGAACAAATTCTTTATAGAAAACCTGTAAAATAAAAATAAAAGTGTTTATAGGCACTTTACATTAACATGACATTACTCTACCAGAAGAGCTTCCAGCACATTCAATTACGAGGAAAGATACTCTGAACAGCACTATCAGAGTTTTCATTTCTCTGAATCAAACAGTTATTCCCCAGTGGGAATCCTGAATACTTCTTCAGATTAACATTTTGTAATGCTATTCCCCCTGGACAACAGGTCTCTACTTTTAGAACTGGGCCCACAGGCATTATAGTAGTGGAATTAATTTATTTTTCCAAATAGCAAATCTGTTGGATACCTCCATTACTAGATGAACTCTACAAACAGAAACAGGATTTGGAGACTTCTGCCTCAGTTTGTGCAAAGAAGGTGTCTAGAAGAGCAGGAACCTATTAGAGAACCTTGGTTCTGCCAAGTCTCCCAAATTATGAGGTCTTGAACTACTGAAACAAAGCTGAACAGCCAAAATAAGTTTCTGTCAAACTTTTAACAAAAGATATTCCTCTCGGGTATTTATTTGTTAAGACTTCAGTTGGCTTTTCAGAGGAATCTTAAGAAAAGTCACTTAAAGACAAAAGTCACATCAGCTTTACCAACTTTTACATTCACATAAGATGCCTGAGTTAGCGTTACACAGCTGAGACCTCAAGATCTTCTCTCTAAAACCAAGGAAAAGCAAAACTAACATTTCTGATAAAACTAAACATAAAAAAAGCAGGCAGCATACACATTTTTAAACGTTTCAAGCCATCTTCAGGTATCAAGGAATCAGAGGCACACAGACATTATCAGAAAGCCTTTTAAAGTCACTTTTAGGGATTCCTTTCTCCTTAATAAATATGCTAGATTCAATAGTTATGAGATATTTCCCAGTATTCTCCATCCATAACTCTTTGTTTAAATTGGTAATGACTGAATACAGATGCAATGCTGTGTAATTTGCCTTGAATTCTTAAATAAGTACACCATTAAACAAAGACAGTGAGTTTACTGATATTTGTCATTAGTATGACTGTGCAGCTTCCCCTGGTGATATTCAACTGGTGTAGAGCTTGTCTGCACACATCTCCCTGTGTTATCTTTCTTCTTGTCCCTTCCACCTGATTTGTTTCAAACACCTTTTTGCACTGTCTATACACTTTTCATTCTTTTCAGTCTGCTCTCAGCGTTTAAGTAACCCATCTCTCATCATTCCTTCACTTCCATTAGCATAGACGAACATTATCTAGGCAAAGAACCAGCCCTTTATTAACCTAAATTTAGCAGGAGCTTTACCCTGCCCCAGAGATACATGCTCCTACTCAACTAGCAGTAGCCTCCAAGCCAGTTCCCAGTATTAAGTGAAATAACAATGCAGAACATGAGACCATAAACAAAAGAAATCACTGAACTTTTAAGTTTTCAGATGGGCCAGATTTTTAGTAGAAAGCCAGAAATAAACCAAGATTAAGAACTCACTGTTGTAGTTTGAAAACGAAAAAAGTACCTCCCAACCTACAACGGCAGGGCGGTGATCCTCAGATGTGATGGTAACACAATTATAACAAGAACTATCATCTTCCCTGTATATCATATGAGATAACAGAGCAAACGGTAAAGTTTCCACCCATACCTGGGGCCTGAAGAGCTCAGAGCAATTTGGAAAGAAGAGAGAAGCCATGGCATAGTATCCTGACCAACCCGGATGCTCCTCAGATGTAGTCCCAAAATAGTACTCTGCCTGCTCATCCTGCCAGGCACAGAACAGAACAGAGATACACCATGTGAAATACTGGTTGACAATCTGAACAGGCAGCTGCAAGTCCTGGAAAGGAGCATAATTTCCTGCTATACACATCCTTGAACAGAATTTAACAGGATAAAGGCCATCAAGCTCACACAAGACTATTCTTCCTTGCTTCAAGAAAGAAGAGGGGAAAAAAAAAAAAGTAATTTACATGTAGGCTTTGAGCAAGAATCAATACTTTGAGCAATCTCAATAGTCCTGCAATGGTGGTGCAGAAGCCAGCATAAGCTCAAGTTTACGTGAATAAATTCTCCACTATTACATTACCTGAAAGTTTAAAGATCTCGGAACTGCACTAGGTTAGTAGTTACACTGTCATAGCTAACTATTTTAAGCACTTAAGAAAGTGTGTTACAAACACTATAAATCAGTTGTGTGCCCCACCACATTTGAAAGAAGCACTATACGTTTTGTATAAATCACTAGTACTCATAATGTATATGGAGAAAGAACAGAACTAAGACTGCACATGAAAATATGTTTCTATTTGCTGTGACTAAGTATTCTGCTGTAAACAGTATTTTCCTCTAACAGATGAATACTTCAGTTTAGGGTTGATATATTTATTATTTCAACTTCTGGGTCTAAAAGAATTCTGAAAAACATTTGAACCTCACCCAGAATCCAGAGAAGCTAGCCATTCCAACAAGCTCCCCTCCATTCCTAACATCCCATTGATGCAGGAACTTCTTATCTTCCAACGGAAGAGTGTCTCTTTCAGGCCCACAGAGCAGTGGGGATGCAAGTAAGAAATCTCTAACCTCCCAACCCCAGATCTGCTTAACCATAAAAATCATAACCTGTGTTTTTTCACACAATTCTTACCCCAAAGTTGAAGACTTCATTGTAGCAATCAGAATATCTCAAGTACCAAGTAACATTGTAACCTTGGGAGTTGTCACAAGCCTTCTCATCCCCTTCAACTAGAAGGAAAAGACATGTAAGACACCCTTTATCTGACACGCTTCTCCTTACATTCTCTGCCTGACTACTGTAATTAAGAAAGCCATTCTAAATAAGAAACGGAAAGCAAAGCAATAGAAAACCTTTACGCTCAAATAATCCATTACTGTTAACTGAAAAGGAGAAGAATATGGGAAAATGAATGCCATCATAGCATTACACAATTCTATTACAGAGCTGAAGATTGTTTGGAAATTGGTTGTTCTTATAACATTCAGGAATATTCCAGCACATTCAAATACCAAACAAGAAGACAACAGCAGTGACCTCAGTGATTACAACTATCATAAAGGATTTGCTTTTCTAAGATACATTGAGCATACAGCAAGTATGTAAATAATAGGTTAATGCTAACAGCAGTTTATACTGATAATTTAAATATACCAATATTTAAACATACCCGTATCATTACCAAGACAGTAACTGGAAAGAGTTTGCAAGTCAACATCCACAAACAAGCTATCCCTACATCAGCTCACTGTCAAAATTACAACCCTACCTAACACAGTAGTAAGACACAACTTTTAGTTTTGATTTATTAAAGAACAATAGGCACGGAAGATGAAACATATGAATTTACTCAGTAAAGATTATCATCATTTGATTTTTGTTTCAAGTATCATTCCAAAACTAAAGCTTGATGAAGATAATTTTATATTAAGGTAAACTTCACATGTAAACAAAATGAGCAGTGGTTATTCAGAGTTTCTGAAGAGTCATTTAAATTATTATATTTGTGTTTTGGCAGAGGACATTTGTGTTTTTGCTCAGAGAACTGAGTTGACAGGATACTATTAGCAGCCAAGAAGTCCCATACCTTCGCAGGGAACATTCACTCGAACCAAAAACCCACAAATTTGTTACACGTATAGAACTTCTGCTAATGAACATTTCCACATTGACCATAGCAGAGGAATAAGTAATTAGTTAAAAGACGCTGCCACAGAGTCTTACCTGGCTAACCCTACTTTAACCCACATGACTACTAGAACAAGTACATGCAGGGCTAAGGACTCAACAATTGGGCCCCTAATATCAAAGGCTTCAAAAAAAATAAAATAAAATAAAGGAATTCAGTTACTGAAAAGAGTTTCCCTATGGCTCCTTCTGGTAAATCTGAAAACAGGGCATACATTCTCTACGTAGCCATAGATGTGACAGATGGAACAACAAAGAAATGGAGAGACAACACAAACAATGCAGTGATGTGGGTAGATGGCAAATTCCTAGAAGACAAAGGCTTTTTTGATAACATCGGTCAAGGGAGGAACACTTCAAAAAATTGCTGTAAATAGTAGGGATTAAAAAATACCAAACATCAAGACAGACTTTACTGAAACTGTATGTTCCGCAGTAACACCAATAAAAAGGCAAAATAAACCACAATTAGAACAATCCATCAACCTAGGCAAACAACTGCTGACAGAAATCTTAAAGAAGTACTATAAAAGAGCAAAAAGGCATCCATGGCATTTACTAAATTCAACAACATGGAAATCAAAGTTCATTAGCCTTCAAAAAACACCAGCAACATTCAGTTCAAATGTAGTCTTTGTACTAACATACAGGTGAAAGCAGGATATCTACCATGACCCTAGACAGGAAGCCAGATGCCGTCAAGAATAGCACTTAAGAAGAGTAACAGATAAAATAAATTTATTACAGACAATAATAAGTATCAGTGACAGTCCTTCCCAGTCAGAAGCAGAAGAACTCATTAGATGCCAGCACATGGAACACACCATAAACATCAAGAAGGGAACAGAAAAAAGCAGGAGGAAATACAGGTCTTCACCGAAAACAGCAATAACACATGAGAAAACTTGCTTGGCAAGAAGGGCCACGTTTTGCATGGACACTACAGAGCAGATGGAAGAAGCAACAGACAGCAAACAGAGGACAGACCAGTTTCTACACAGACAACAGCAGAGAAGGAAGGAAAAACGTTAAAGATGAAGCTTCACTTTGCACACCAATTCTTAGGCAGTCGATTTGCTCCCAGGTCTGCAAGTGATTCATTATCTAAACTCATGGTAAATCTTTTAATCACGCTGGCATGTTAAACAGGTGCCTTCACTACAGAATTTTACAGCTTAATCCCTGTTTAAAGGTTGACAGTGCAGCGTAGCTGATGAAGTCTACAACAGGAGCCAAGAGACCTGATTCTTCCTGCCAGTTCTGCCACAAACCTATCTTCAAGAAAGCAAATCCTATTTCCTCTGTGCCTTGACTCCTTCCCTCTCTTGCTTATTTCACCTGCATACCTCATAATCAGACTTAACAGAGAGGTTACAGTGGGGTTCCAAGTCTTAGATGCCACGTTAGCATAAGTTCATTATTTCTACTAAACTTTAGACCAAAAAAAAAAAATCTAATGAAAGTTCCAGATGCCCTTTTCAAAACCCCTTTTTCCCCCAAGCACCCGATTTCTACACTTTGTTTCTGCAGCAGCACACTTGCAGCTGTCCAGCTGCAAGCTTTGAAATTCAACATTTGAGCTACACTGGACAAATAGGAAAACCCTAATCTAGAACTGATGAGCCTTCTCTAATAGCTATCTTACTATAAGCCTCCTATTTTAAATCCATATAGGATTAATGGAGGCACTTAAACAAACTGCCTTTGAAGCATCAACCCAAAAAAGGCGGGTATCTTTCAGGTGCAAAGTGCCCCTGAAAGCACTCCAAGCCCATGGGAAAGATTCCAGCCTTTTTAAATCATCTCTTTACATTCACAAGTCACATATATCCATACGAGACTGCCACCTCAATGAGGTTCACATATTTACATATGAGAGGCTATTTTATAGAAATTCAGCTTATTGCACTAACCCAGATAATCCATAGCCATGGCTAGATCACGGAAGAGCAATAGAAAGAACAAATAACTTATCCTTAGCTCACTTGCTCACTGAGATCAGGAAGAGAAAACGCTGCTCTCAGAAGGGCTCTATCAGAGCATCCAGTGACATTCCCTGACCACTTCTGGAGGTATCCAGCTACAAAGGAATAGGGTCTCAAAAGCACTGCACACCGGCATCAGCCGCCCTACAACGCAACAGGCCTTGTCCCACCCAATGCCAAACCTCCCAGCCAGACCAATTTAGCATATCTGAAATAGGACAAGGATATCTCACAGGGGGCTCGGCACATCCCACACCCAATTATACTCTATCTGAAATCAAGTAGGGCTCCCGTTGGCTATCTCACCCTTTCCACAAACAGCCAGACTAGAACCATCCACTCTTGCTGCAGCCTAAACTAGGAGCCTTCAAGGCTGCACACCCAACCATATCAGACCAGCAGCCTTCAGCCAGTAGCAGGAGATTATCCGCCACCACAGCCAGCGTGATTAAAAAATTTTCGGCGTTTTGAGTTCCAAACGTTAAGTTGGGGCTGTGTCAAACAGCCAGTAGAGCAGGTTAATCCCTTGTGCTCACTTACATCTCAGGAAAATGGTGGTGTTGCTGAAGAGAATCTTCCCAAAGTTAAAAAACTTCTTCCCCTGCACAGACAAAAGAAATAAAAGATATTAGTGGGCTTAAGGTCACCCAGCTTAAATAAATGTTATCTTCTTCCACTCAGAATTTTAACTCAATACAGTAACGAAAGTGAATGCCAAATAAGGAGCCAGCCTTACTGGATTTTCCAGTCATGCTTCACCACCCCTTCAATCTACTTTTAAAGATGGCTTGAAAGACTTGGGGGTTTTTGTTCTGCAAAACTGAATCATTTTCATCTCCGTTTATTAAAATGATTTGCATTTTTTGTCTTATAAAAAGGCTTACACTTTACCAACCCCCCCCCCCAAAAAGCCTTTTGCTCCTAAAATCAACAGGAACATTAATCACAGGCCTTTAATTTTGCTCCTGAAGCTCAAAAGTCTCACCGAAAGCGTGTATTGCTATCTCCCACAGCTTAGCAAACACAAGTTCAACGAAACAAACGTCCTTTCGCCATGCAAACAGGCATGGTGCGGAAAGCACCTCCCCTTCCCAGGTGCCCACACTCCCCTCAGCTAAAAGCCCCCGTGGCAGGCTCCCAGGGGCCCGCGTCTCCTGACACCCGACCCCGGCACAGCGCTCCCAGAGGGGCCGCGCG